AGACCCTCCCAGTCCCCGAGAGCCCTCCTGGGACCTGTGGCTATGCGGGTGTGGGATGTGTGCCTGCTCTTCATGCTGCCCAGCTGGTGACTGACACACTGAGACCCAGGGTGTACATTTAGCCAGGAGTGAACCCTCCCCACATCCTCCCACAATAGCCCATGACAGATGGATAGTTCCTAAGGGTCTTTAAACCTCTACACCAAGATGTCTGACCTAAGCTGCCCCGGAAAGCACGCACCCAAACTCACCCTCCCACTGTCTGTGCCCAGACCCCTATAAGGATAAAGTACAGTCCTGCCACCTGACCAGTCACCACCAGGCAGAGGGCAGCAGGTGCTGGTTGGGAGCCAAGGTCAGGAAGTTGGCTGAGAACCTGCCCCAGGAGCCCAGGAGGTGGCTGAAAGGGGGAGGCACAGGCTCCAGGCCCTTGCTCATGCTCTATTGTCCCATGTGACTTCACTTTCAAAACACAAGTTCAGACACAAAATTATTAAACATGGCAAGATGGCAACCTCAGAGTATTAGACCATGAGACAAGTTCCTTCTGTGTGCTGACCCTGTGTGACTTTGTGGGTCACATGACCACAAAGCCAACCCTGACTATCTCTATCTGTTTATATCACTTCTGTCTCTATTTCTGTCTCTGTATCTGTATCTTTATGTCATATCTAGACCTAGGTCCAGGCAAACACACCCAACATATACACAATGCAGTCTCATACATGTCCCTAAGTATCATACACTGGCCTGAGTGCTTTGTATCTTTTAACTTCTTAAATCCTCACTGCAACTCATGAGACTGGAGGTCCTTTCCATCTCTATTTTATGAGGAAGTCTAGCACAGAGAGGTTGCATGGCTGAGTCTAGACCACACAGCCAGGAAGTAGAGATCCAGGAGCGGAGCCCAAATGGCCTGGCTCTGGGTCCATGTTCTTTACCCTTATGCTTTGTAGCCTCTAAGAAAGAACAGGATACCTGGGAAAGGTGATGCCATCAATTTCCTTTGACAGCATAAGAAAGGTAGTACGGAGCTCACCAGAGAGTATATTCTCTAGTG